CATGTAGTTATTTGTTATGTAGTCTTTCATGAATTCGCTATATTGGGAGTAAAGTAAAGGATTTTTCAATAATTTTTTTTCCAAGGAGTTGAAACGTGATAATGCTTGAGAGCGCGTGTCTCCAAAAAAGAGTTCTTGCATTCGAAGTCTAGAGTAACCTTGCTTGAATAAAACTTCACAGTTTTCATCATCTGGAGAAATTGGATATTTATCTGGGATAATTTCTATCTCCCAAAATTTTTTCAACGTTTCTTCTATAGGGGAATTACTAACGGACAAAAAGGAATTGACGGATGACGGAGTGGCTGACTCATATTTTCCCATTATTATCCATCCAAACTCGGTATCAACTGCTATGGGCTCGTTGATTTTACCAGAGACTTTACCCTGTTTCAAAATCATAGAAAATACATCTGCACCCAGCAGCATATCTATTTGACTGGAAATATTGAACTTATTGTCAGCTAACTTAAGGTTAGCAAGGTATGAGAGAGATCTTGCNCTATTGCAAGTAAGCGTTTGTTCTGATAACGTTCTTCTAAGTTTATGAAGACTTTATCATAATTATCATCAGTTAACGGAAGATTTTTTGCTATCAAGAGTGGTTCTCCCGACAAGCTCAAGAGTAGATACTGAAACTTTTCAATTTTAGAGAGAGAGTTGTTATTATGTATCATACTTGTATACAGGTCCCAGAACGTAGGCCAAGCTTTCAAGTCTCCATTGAACTGGGGAAGGTTTAATCGTGGCAGCTTTACATTACTCTGAGTCATATTTACATTAGATGAGGTAGGAACTTGTGAAAAGAGATCATGAAAAATTGTTTTGATTGAATAATATTTTTTATCAGTTTCAATTCCTATATTATTCTCCTCTTCTTTAACCGTGGCAGTAGTATCGTCTTGAAGAGCGAGATATTGCATAACTGCAGAGTGAGTTTCATTAAATTCATTGTAAATATCTTCCAATTTCTCATGCCTAATTTTGAAAGCTGTATGATACGTAATATCACTCCTTGCATTATGAGCGCAAGTATATATATCTAAAATCCTATCTATGGAAATTTGCCTGAGAGCCTTCTGTTGTTTCATTTTATTTGCCATCGCAATTTGTAACAATAAAGATGAATGTTCAACTTCTATTAAGAGAAAGTGTTTTTATTTTAATAAATGACCTTGTTAGAGTCTGAATAAACGAGATTTTGAAATTGTTTCAGTCAAAACTATTTCACCTATTTTTTTTAAGAGAAAATATCAAAATGTGCTTTGATAACCGTAATTCAAAGTGATAATAAATGAAATTTGCGAATATTTACCAAAGAACGCAAATATTCTGCGAGATTTCTTTTTTATTCCCAGAGCGGGACAAAAAGGAGGTAAAAATAAAAAACGTAGCGAGAGTGGCCGGTGATAATTATATATTTACATGTCAATATGAACGAATTTCAATGTCACGAACAGGAGTGAATGAGATTATAAAGCATATATCAAAATTGCATCCGGCTCGAAGGACCAAAATGTTGCGGAATTGATTGAGTTTGATATGTATCCCCAAATGTCGGATTGAATCGTCAAAGGTTTTCACCTTACCTGCTCTTACTCTGCAGCTTCCGGGTAAAGGGGATGCATCCGCCCAATCAGTAGCTAATAGTGGACTGTAAGGGGTTGATTGCTCTGTGGGTATGAGTGAGTACACGTGAATCGGCACCTTAATCTCTCGATACTCTGTAGCACACCGTTTTCTCATTCGTACTATCACTGTCTTTTTTCCGTCCGTCCATCGCGGAGAGCAATATTTGGCTAGTCCCCTTGAGATTGGCGCGAGCAACTATATATATACGGGGTGATGCAAACAAGAGAACTACAATTTGATATATGCTTAATTAATAACTATATACATAGGGTAAATCCGAGAACTTAACACTGGTAATAGTCATTATTGTTGGATAAAGGATTTATCGAGACTAGTATCATCCCAAATATCTGCACACCACCACAAAAAAAAATTTGTGATGGTTATTTATTATACTTTAGTGATGAGCGGGCTTCATTGCGACACCAGTTGAATGATTGTAATCACATTTCAACAACAACACCGAACACTAATTTAAGAATTGACAAATTTGGTAAATGTGTACCTGAAAATATTTTGAAATTTGAAAATTTCGAAAAACAATTGAAAGTTCCATTCGTTGTGTATGCTGATTTCGAATCTATTTTGAAACCAGTGCACACAAATGAACCAAATCCTGCACACTCTTTCACAAATAAAACTTATCTTCATGAACCATATGCTTTCTCATATATCATAAAGTGCTCTTTTGATGATTCAATCTCCAAATTTATATTATATAGAGGTGCTGATGCAGCTAAAGTGTTTGTTCCAAACTTGGAGGCTGACGTAACCAACATATATCACAAATATTTGAAAAATGTGGTACCGATGAGTCCTTTGACTGCTAAGGAAGAGCATGACTTCAATATTGCCACCACATGTGGGATATGTGGAAATAATTTTAAAGAGGGTGATATTAAAGTACGTGATCATTGCCATCTAACGGGAAAAAAACGAAATTGAGCTACTCATTCCATTTGTAATCTCAATTTCAAATTGCCCAAATTGATTCCAATCATTTTCCATAATCTCAGCGGGTATGACTGCCACTTATTCATAAAGGAGTTATGTACCGATAAAAATAAAGTTGATGTCATCGCTCAAACTGAAGAGAAATATGTTTCTATCACGAAACATCTATTCATGGAAAATAAATTGTATCGGAATGGTAAAATTAAAAAAAATATTTGAAATTGAGATTTGTGGATAGCTTCAAATTTTTGGCTGCATCTCTACAAGAGTTGGGTATGAAAAACATTTTGTTGAAACTAGAAAATATTTTCCAGAAAATGATAAATTTCAGCTAATGAGGCAGAAAGGTGTTTTTCCTTATAACTTTATCGATTGTCTGGATAAATTGAATTATTCAAGTATACCATCGAAGTTGGACTTTTATGATAAACTGAATGAGAAGCATATTTCTGATGAGGATTATGATAGAGTGAAACAGGTATGGGGCATGTTCAATTGTCGGGATTTAGGTGAATATTCTGACATTACTTGAAATCTGATGTTCTGTTGTTGTGTGATATTTTTGAAAATTTCAGAAATATGAGTTTGGGTACATACAAATTGGATCCTTCTCAATATTTCACATCTCCAGGTCTATCTTGGGATGCTATGTTGAAGTTTACAGGTGTCGAGTTAGAATTACTAACTGATATCGATATGGTGCATTTTTTCCAAAATGGTATACGTGGCGGTGTTAGCCAATGTTCGGAAAGGAAGCATATTGCAAATAATCAATTTCTTCCGAATTATAATCCCAACGAACCTTCATCCTTCATAATGTATTTGGATGCAACCAATCTATATGGCCATAGTATGTGTCAATCACTACCTGTTGACGGATTCACTTGGTTGACCACCGATGAAATAAGTCAGCTAGATATCAATAGCATCCCAGATGATGGCTGTCAAAGATACATTCTTGAAGTAGATGTGCACTATCCTATAGAATTGCACGATTCACATTCAGATTTGCCATTTGTGGTGGAGAGCATTATACCACCTAGTTCAAAGTCTAAAATACCCAAACTCATAGCGAATTTGAATGATAGAAAAAATATATTGTTCACTATAGAAATTTGAAACAGGCGGTTCGTAATGGTTTGATGGTGATGAGAACTCATAGAATTCTCAGATTCAATCAATCACCATGGTTGAAGAAATATATTGATTTGAATACAACCCTAAGAAATAATGCCAAGAATAAGTTTGAGAAGGATTCCGGAACTGACTGCAATACGCTTAACAGTTCATGCTATCAGTTCCATTCAGTTTTGGATTTATTACAGTTATTATTACACTTAAAAATTTCAACAGTGTATCATATCAAAGAGAAAGAATTCTACTAGTTGTACAGAGATATTTATCTGAACTATTCCATCATTATACTAACCGCTAACAGAAGTAAACGATATCTACACTCGCAAAAAACACGGTCCCACAACCGCAGTACTGGGGAGTCAGGACCGTACTCAGGCGTCGATAGAGTATAAACATCTCGATAGAATATGATGGATGACGAACTGGATAACAATATGCCTAATCAAAATCCTACCACAAGCAACACTCATACCCTACAAAACCAGCCAAACCAATCTACACGTTCATATTCTACTGCATTAACCCATTAGTGCTCATTGGCAACATGGGTTGCCACTGTTTTCAAATCAACGGCATGTCAAATTTTGTTAAGTTATGTCTGAAATTTCATCGTGAACGTGTTGTACAAGTCTTACTCCGACATTTCGTGAAGCAAAGTATTGTATATTCCATCTGAGATTTTCTAAAGTTTACTTTGATTTTTGTGAAGTTCAGAGCTCACGAACATTCCTATAAAAATGTAAGTATATTTTGTTGTTCTCACTAAAATATTCTTATGTATCTGTTAGAATCAGTTACTAAGATATATATTTCTGAGGTTTTGTGGCAAGTAGATGAATTTTGTTCTCGGTATTGTTGTACCAAGTATGTAAATTCAGATGGCAACTATAGTTACCACCGAGCTGTTGGGTAGCCATGTAAAGATAAAATAAGTTTATTTCTTAGGTCGGAACGCGAAGATGGCACGTTTACAGTTGATGAAATGCAGAATGCCTACGAAGAATATTACGGTGAACGAATTCCTTGTATCAGGTCTATTAGTATCATTCCTCCGCAGGAGCTTCCGAATGCTGATACAGATGAAGACTCTGATTTGTCTGATGATGAAGTGGAAGGAAAGCCAGCATTTGCCTGGCCGTATACTTCGAAGTAAGGCTGTGGTTACTTTTGAAGAATCACAGGAAGAGCAGAATGAATATACTCAATCTGAGCAAAATCTATATACTCAAAAGGAAGATATTGTGAATTCTCAACCTGAGCAGAATGATAACATTCATATGGAAGAAAGTGAGGATCCCGAACCTTCTACTTCAAAGCGCGTTCATCTGCAGGAGAAGAAAAAAGTCCTGCCGTCAAAATCAACTTGGTCTTCAAACAAACAACATGTCTGGAAACTGCCATCTATAGAGAAACCTTGCGAACCACTCACTATAGACTTTCTGAAGAAAACTGTTGCTTCGCCTTTAGATGCCTTCAAGTGTTTTTTCACTGACCAATTGGTGAACCGTATTGTTACACATAGTAATCTTTATGCCTGCCAAAAAGGAGAGCATCACGAGAATATCTCCTCTGAAGAGATTTATACAGTGTTGGGCATTATGCTATTGAGTGGATATCATAAGTTACCTAACAAGCGTATGTGCTGGCAAGAAGATCCGAACTGCAACGTGACCATCGTTTCGGAGGCAATGCGCAGACGCAGGTTCGAAGAAATCTTACGATATATTCACCTGAATGATAACACAAATATTGACACGGATAGTTTTTATAAAGTAAGACCCCTTTTTGATTATTTGAATGAGTCATTCAAGCAAGTTCCATGTGAAGGTTCTCTTTCAATTGACGAAAGTATCATACCATATTATGGCCGTCATCACAAGAAACAGTTTATTCGCGGAAAACCTATAAGTTTTGGGTTCGAAATGTGGGTGATAGCTAAGACGAACGGATATATAATGCATGTAGAACCTTACCGTGGATCAAACACCAAATTGCCTGATACTGGTCTTGGTCAGGGAGGTGATGTGGTAATTGGTTTGGTGGATCACTGCAATGTTCCCAACGGAAGAAAACTATATTTCGACAATTTGTTCACTTCAGTTTCTCTTCTGGAAGAGTTATGTAAAAAGGAATTGGGAGAAACTGGTACTCTACGAGAAAACAGAATAGGCAAAGCTATGAATTTACCACCCAAGAAAGAATTCAAGAAGGTTGAAAGAGGAAAATTTGTAACTGTTGGAAATGGGAAACTGATCGCAGTTTCCTGGAATGACAATTCTGTGGTTACCGTTCTGTCAAACTGTAATGAAGTAAATCCACTCAGGAGTATTCAGAGATATAGTCGTACTGAAAAAAAAAGATAACTGTGAAAATACCTAACCCAATATCTCAATACAATTCAAATATGGGAGGGGTTGATCTCAATGATCAATTCACAAGTATCTACAGGACAAGAATAAGAATCAAGAAATGGTGGTGGCCTGTGTTTGCTTGGAGTGTGGATGAATATTGCGTACAGGGAAGGCTCCTCTATAGACAGCTAGGACACAATATGCCACTTTTGCAGTTCAGAAGACAGGTTGTTCTGCAATTATTAAATTTATATGGTACTCCTGCTATCAGACCTGGACCATCATCATCTTATTCAAGATCTGTTTCCCTTCATGACATAAGAAGAGATGGAAGGAATCACCTTATTGTGAAAGGAGAGTCAAAGTACAGGCGGTGTAAGATGTGTCACAACCGTACTGTATACCTCTGCTCAAAATGCAAAGTGTCACTTCATTCCGAATGTTTTGAACCATTCCATAATATGCTAGAGTGTAGTTTTGTATAATAAATAAAATAAATGATCAAACTATTTGTTTATATGAATCTTCAAATAATATTCTTTATAATATCATCACCTGTTGACATACTTTAAATGCCCTAAAGGCTCAGTGGCAACTCAGGTTGCCAAGCGTTTCTGGAGTCCTTGAAAAGAAAATATGTTTTTCAATTCCTCGAGTGATTATATAGTAGCAGAAAAGACATTGCAATATCAATAAATTCAACATTTTTAGTTCTGAGCACTAATGAGTTAAGCCAACATACTCCACTTAAATTCCCTACCAAAGATCAAGCTATTGTTTTCAATACTGTCGCTAATACGAAACTCCAAGACTATCTGCTTCAACTAGGACCCATCGTTCATCCAAAAAATATTCTCTTTTCATCGAGAATATAAAACAATAGAATCTGTGTGTATCTCAGTGGTGAGGAAATTGTCGACCAATTCTTGAAAGACCATGGATCCATCACTATCAATGGAGAAACTATCGCAGCTCGAAAACTAACCGCTCCTTCCGATCGGTTGGTTATATCCAATATAAGTCCTATTATCCCACATGACTTCCCAATTACCAAACTTCGAAAACTAGGATTGACACTAATATCTCCAGTAACTTTTCTGAGAATTGGTGCAACTAACCCGGAATACAATCATATACTCAGCTTCAGGCGTCAAGTATACATTACACCAACAGAAGATATAGATATCCCTGAAACTATTGAAATAACCCATGATGGTTTAACTTACCGCATTTTCCTCTCCTGTGATTGTCAAATATGTTTTAAATGTAGACTAACAGGTCACATTGCATCCAAATGCCCAACCAATTCATCTTCCCAAAATTTGCCAACCAACTCATTCCCCCAAAATCCACCAATCAACTGTCCTATAACAAGTACACCCATTATTCCCGAAAACAATCCAACGATAATTGCGACACAGGATGTACAGCAAATTCCTTGTGTAAATATTCAATCAACGAACAAACGCCATTTAGCATATCGTGTCCTAGCTGTCTATAGAGGAGCCATCCCTGTACGCAACATTCATCCACACTCCAAGCAAATATAGGCCACCACCATTTCTTGATTCTTATTCTTGTCCTGTAGGTACTTGTGAATTGATCATTGAGATCAACCCCTCCCATATTTGAATTATATTGAGATATTGGGTTAGGTATTTTCACAGTTATCTTTTTTTCTCAGTACGACTATATCTCTGAATACTCCTGAGTGGATTTATTTAATCACAGTTTGACAGAACGGTAACCACAGAATTGTCATTCCAGGAAACTGCGATCAGTTTTCCATTTCCAACAGTTACAAATTTTCCTCTTTCAACCTTCTTGAATTCTTTCTTGGGTGGTGAATTCATAGCTTTGCCTATTCTGTTTTCTCGTAGAGTACCAGTTCCTCCCAATTCCCTTTAACATAATTCTTCCAGAAGAGAAACTGAAGTGAACAAATTGTCGAAATATAGTTTTGTTCCTTTGGGAGCATTGCAGTGATCCACCAAACCAATTACCACAATCACCTCCCTGACCAAGACCAGTATCAGGAAATTTGGTGTTTGATCCACAGTAAGGTTCTACATGCATTATATATCCATTCGGCTTAGCTAACATCCACATCTTGAACCCAAACCTTATAGGTTTTCCGCGAATAAACTGTTTCGCGTGATGATGGCCATAATATGGTATGATACTTTCGTCAATTGAAAGGGAACCTTCACATGGAACTTGCTTGAATGACTCATTCAAATAATCAAAAATCAGGTGAATATATCGTAAGATTTCTTCGAACCTGCGTCTGCGCATTGCCTCCGAAACGATGGTCACGTTGCCAGTACATACGCTTGTTAGGTAACTTATGATATCCACTCAATAACATAATACCCAACACTGTATAAATCTCTTCAGAGGAGATATTCGGAATTTTGGAAAATTTGTGTTTGTGTTGTTTTTATTGAATTGAAATAGGTGGGTGTCAATGATTTGTTGATATATCTGCCAAGAGGAAGGGGTGTTTAGGTTCATGGGGTAGAGTGGGGGGAATATCTGCATTTGAAGTGGCCTCATGTACCTTCGAATTCTCTCATAGAAAGGTGGGTCGGTTCTTGGTTGTTCGTATGCTGATACAAAGCGTGTTGTTATTGTGTTTCTATATGTTGGAACGTTGTCAAGTGAAGCTATTCTGGCCGCGTAGGATATGCTTAATTGTTGTCTTCTGTGTTGTAGGGATGGTTCTCCGATTTCACATTCCAAGCTTACAATAGAAGTGATTCTGTAAGCTCCTAGGATAGTGCGTAAAGCTGAATTATGAAGGCTATCCAAAGGTTTCAGTAGTGATGGTTTTGTGGAGGCATAGGCAATGCAACCATAATCAATCTTGGAACGTATAAGAGCTCTATATAGAGTGAGAAGGGTCGATCCCTCTGCACCCCATTGTTTATGAGCTAAGTATTTCAAAAGGTTGAGCTTTTTGTGACACAAAAGAATGAGATGTTTGATGTGTGCTTTCCAGTTGAGCTGTTGGTCGAATATCATCCCTAAAAATTGTATGTTGTCCGTGAAATTTAAGTTTATGTTGTATAATATGACTGTTGGTGTCTCTACTGTCTTCTTTTTCGAGAATAATATGCATTTCGATTTATCAGGGGTAAATCCTGTGATCTTAGACTATGTTTCGAGCGTATGTATCTGATTCTGTAAAGTAGTCCCCAGGGCATCAATGTTTTCACCTTTAGCGAATAATATTAGATCGTCTGCATAGAGTCTTGCTTGGACTGCTTTTTTCATGGACACAATAACGTCGTTGAGTGCTATGAGAAAAAGTATTGGGCTTAGTATTGAGCCTTGCGGTGTGCCGTTTTCCTGAGTTTTGTGTTGTGATAGTGTTCCGGCGAGACGGACTTGAAACGTCCTGTAGTTTAAGAAATGTTTGATGAAAGCTAATATATTTCCCTGATATCCCCATTCTTGAAGTCGGACTAGGATTTGATGACGCCATGCTGTTTCAAAGGCTGTATTGATATCAAAATTAATTGCCATACATTTCTGTTGATTGGCAAACGCTTCATGTATTTGACTTTCCAAATCTATTATGTTGTCATGTCTATGGGGTCTGAAACCGGACTGTTCTTGTATAATTTGTTTTTTGTTTTCAAGTGTCCAAATAAGTCTTTAAATAATAATTTTTTCTAGCAATTTGCACATTGAGCATGTCAGTGAGATTGGCCTGTAGGATTGTAGATGAATAGATAACTTATAACGACTGCGTGCCTCCTGATTTGCAGAAATTTTTGTTGTATCCAAATTATGTTACATATTTGTAAAAGGAGATTTTTCGCTACTTGCAGTAAGTTCTTTAAAAATGATGTTGGAATATCATCAGGGCCTGGAGCAGTGTTTTTAAGTGATGTGAGTGCTACTGAGAATTCTGATACCGTAATTGGTGTGTTGATCGGATCTTGGTTGTTCTCTATCACAATAGGTGTGGATTCTTAGGCAGTTTTGTGTGTAAGAGAGCTTTATTCGTAATTTGCGTTAGTAGAGTTATGCTTGTAGTATTCGGCCAGTTCTTCTGCTATATCTTCTGCTCGGGTGATGACTTGTTAGTCAAATAAACTGTCGACCTATCTATCTCTGTCTTTCGATTCTTGAGTTTTTGAGACCATTCATAGTCAACGTATTCATGAAACGTTTACAAAAACGCAACACGTGTTTCGCCATACAATGGTTTTTTCGGGCGTGTCTTTACTAACAATATTCTACATATTCAATGCTCAATATATCTAGTTTTACAATTAGAAGTAGGTACCTGACTTTTACCTAAGTTTGTAATGAATTGAATAATCTGAGCTTATCCCCCAATTTTAACATCTGAAAAATATTAAGTAACGGGGAGTTATTCAATTCCAATTGATCATTCAGTAAATTACCCGAATTCCTGATTCTATTGATATCTGAATATTCTAGAAGATTGAGTTTCAAACTCTTCTCTTCTAAATGTAACACGTCGTATTCATGATTGAACTCATGTCCTTCTGCTAAAAGGTGGTTTGCAAACGTGGAATTGGTCTTTCTATTCTAAAGAGCATAGAAGTAGTTTTGTAAATAGAAAGACCAACTCAACATTTGAATCAGGAATTCGGGTAATTTACTGAATGAACAACTTGAATTGAATTACTCCCCTTCACTAAATATTTTTTCAAATGTGAAACTGGGACATAAGCTCAGATATTTTAATTCATCACAAACTTAGGTAAAAATCAGGTACTTGAAATGTAGATACGTCTAATTGTAAAACTAGATATATTAAGCATTGAATATGTAGAATATTGTTAGTGAAGATACTCCCGAAGAAGCCATTATATGGCGAAACACGTGTTGCGTTTTCGTAAAATTTTCAAGTGAAAATTTCACAATAAAGTGTTATGCATTTTCATCAAGTATCGGCCAATTCCATCATAAACATCTATAGTCAATTTTATATCGAAAGTGAACAAAATAAGCTATACTAATACTTTTGATAT